AGCTCGAGCATGCTTAGCCCTTTGTCACAGCAGTTAGCTTCCGTGCAGCCGTGAGGAGCTTCTGCCCTTACGCTGGGAGCTCTGGTACTTCTGGAGGAAACAAGGGGTTAGTTTTCTGCTCTTCCCGGGGAAACGGCTGTAGCAGACTAGAGAACAGACCATCGGGACAGTATTTGGGGGTTAGCTGAAATTACAGACAAGCCTCTTGGGCTACCCACCATTTGTCTGCTGTTCCTGTTTCGGATAAGTGGTTGCTGATGCCAAGCAAGGAAAATGTGAATTTTTAGCCAGGCGATTGCAGCGAAGTGAAAATATAAAGCCTACAAAAAGCTTATGCAAAGCACTTCAGTACCTGCCAATTCTTCCTAAACTGTAGAACTTCTTGATGCTGGCCCATCCTTCAGAATGTTTTCGTGTAACCAGCATGGGATCTGACGTTCCCTGGCGATCCTGGCTTAAATAGGCACTGTATCTGAAGCTTGATCCAGCGAGCGACTTTAAGTTCAGGAGCTAAATATTTCTCAGCTTAATCTCACCGTAGCGTTCCTTGCTTCTTGCAGATTATGCTGTAGGGCTCTGCAGCGCTTTCTCATTTACCCATTTTCTTCTCTGTGGTGGTGCAGAACTGGAATCCCAAGAAATCATGCTGGTTATTAGTTGTTTGCCAGAACCATCCTAACTTTGAGTAGCTGAAGCTGGTTTTCCCCTCCTCTGACCCACAAGGATAGGTGCCTATAACAAATAACCAACACTATCTTTTGTGTCTCTGCAGGAAGGACGTGAGCCGGATTATTCTGAATACAAAGAGTTCAAACTGACTGTGGAAAACATAGGTTATCAAATGCTAATGAAGATGGGCTGGAAGGAAGGCGAGGGACTTGGCTCGGATGGACAGGGGATTAAAAACCCAGTCAGCAAGTAAGCAGAGCTCTTCTCCTATTGATTTAGTCCTTTCCTCTTGGGCTGATAATTGATGCTCCTGCCCTAGCCTACTGGAAGCAGCTGCAGTGAATGCAACTGTAATTCATCACTTGAACAGAACGTGGAATCCTCGCAGCAAAGGAGAGAAATAATTTCTGATTTCTTTGGGGTTCCCTCCCCCCAAGGCCTGGGTTTGTTACTTTATCTCAGGCAGGAGGTGTGATCTGAGCCCAGAGTTCCTAATCTCGCCTTGCATAGTGCATTCTTCTGAGAGGTGCCTTCTCCCTGCTTTCCCTGTCTATAAAATGACGATAATACTTGTCTGCTCCTCACCTCTCTGACTCATGTGAGGATTAAGTCATGTCTTGAAAGTCATAAATTCACATAAGTATTGAAGAACTTGCCTTTTGCTTCTGAAGTGCCGTTGGTGCCTGCTAGCTAGTCCCTGGTGTAGCGTGGGTGCGAGGCGATGACCAGCGTTTGCTACGGCTAGACCCGTGTTTGAAAGGTGCTTCGGTCCAGATCAGAGAGCTTTGTGTGTGATGATGCAACCGTCTTGACGTCACTCTTTTGCACAGACGTTTTCTGATACTAAAGCTTTATGAGAGTTCTGTCCAAAAATAGATGAGCCTCTTTTTAGGTGGATCATCTGTTGGTAACATATGCTGAACTTCAAATATTGGGGACGGGAAATACACCGAATTGGGTATTAGCGTTAGATCCTTTCAGGAATAAGTCATTTGTTTACGGCACAGTAGAAAGTGTTTCTACGAAGCACTTCTGCTCCCCTTTCACAAGAAGATCTCTCTGGCAAGATGCTTATTGGTTCAGAAAAGTCCCGTGGTAAACGATTGCTGTAATCAAAACAGCAAGGCTCACAAACAACAGAAGGAAGTTTTGGTCCATCACAGGGTTGAACAAGGGTTGTGATTTGCTTGGGCTGCACCGTCTCTGATGTTCTTAGAGTGGGTAAGAAGCTGCTACTGCACATGGCAGGGAATTGCTTCTGCTTTTGGCCTGTTCTGGAGAGAAGGAGTGGGCGGCAGGCACGCCGTTTGACAGTTCTGTGTGCCTCAAATCAGTGAGGCACAGATCAACGCCTTTGGTTGGCGAAGGTTAGCCTGCCAGTCGGAGCGCCGGTCAGCAGGGAGGCAGCCGGAGCACGGGCGGGCTGGCTGGTTCCGCCC